AATGAGCTAGGTGCATGGCTCACTTACATTGCAGTAAGCTATGGGCTACTTGAGAAGGGCGCTGACATGGGGAAGGATGCCGTCTCTAGTTCTCATGTGATTTAGCTCGGAGAAGTCACTCGGGTTCTCTGTGCCTCAGTCTCTCCCCTGTTAAGGGAAGCATTTGGAGTCTTACTCCAATGCTTTTCTCTCTTCTGTCATATACTGGCTGAGGACCTCGGTGCTAGACCCCTGCTTGGGATAATAGACGCATGTCCTTCCTGATGGAGCCTCAGGACAGAAGAGGCGTGGCCCTCCTACAGAAGTTGTGTCAGTAGAAGAGGCTCACCTCAGATATTCCAAAGACAAAATTTCTCTTCACTCTGGAACCTAGAAAAGTTTTAGAAATTAGGTGTTTTATTTTTAAATTGATGCACATTATATTTAAAATGTCCACAAGTGACAAAGTGTTTTGTTTTTTTTTTAAATACTGAGTGCTGAGGCATTTCAGTCTTTTATGCTTTATATATTGCCCACCTTTTCTGTAGTGAATGGATGCCATGTGTAGCCCCTCCATTTAGGTCAAAGAACCCTTAGAGGAGGGAACATTAGGCTGTCTGTGGAGTGTCCTGAGAAAACTCGACTCCAGCAACGTTCCATTGTTTGTTTCTTCCTTGCTTTGTGACTTTCTACCTTCATAAATGCTAATATAACTCATGGGGACAGGTCGGTCCTTCAGGGAAAGGGTGAATCCGTAGTTTCTAAGCTTGCTAGATCCCTTCTGGTCAGGATGCTGGGGACTGACCTAGGATAGACCAGTGTCTACTGCTAAGGTATATTCCAAACCCTTTACAAATCACAAAGTCTCAGGAATCTGCTAGGACTGGCCTTGAACTCACTCTTTAGCTTAGGCAAGCCTTGGATTTTTTATATTCCAGCTTCAGCCTCTCCAGTGAGCTGGGATACAGCCCATTTCCTTCAGGTCTGACTCAGAGTCGGGCTTTGATTTTTTTTTTTTTTTTTTGAGACAGGGTTTTTTGATGTTAAAGTTCTTATCACAGTACACCTGAATGGACACCTGATTAAAGAGGCTACACTTAAGGTGTTCAATACCTTAAGGAAATGCAAATAAAAGCCACAGTGGGATATTGGCAGCATTCAGACACTCCCATTGGATATATCCACTAGCATCATCACTGGCAGTACCATGTTCTGGAAAGGACACACAGAAATAAGCATTGGCTTTGAGAAAATGTGGCTGCCATGTGCATGACCCCCACATCTCTTTATGAGCACCTCTGTGCAAATGTCCTTAGAAGAATAATGAACAATAGCTTCAGGCTGAAAACTAACCAGTGTTCACCAACAAGTGATGGAAAAATTAATGTATTTCTACCCATATGAGGTAGAAGAACACAGAAGAACTTCAAAAGGCCTGTGCTTAGTGAAAAAACTGGCACACCTAAGAGTACATATGACTCTTTGTTTGGAGTTTGGAAAGCCATATCTGCACAGTTAGTGGTTGGTTGTCTAGGTATCAAATGAGCTTTGATGATTCAAAACCATCTCAGCTCTACTCCTAGTATTATAGCCTCAGAAAGAGGACATTTCCACGATTGTCCTTCCAAGTCAGGAAATAAAAGGTAGAACTAAAAGTGAGATGCTGATGAAGGCAGCGACTATGTGTGCTGGACACAAGCTCAGAGTGAGCCTGGCTCAGTAGTGTGACCGAAGTCTCTTCGCAGCTTCATGTCAGAGCCTGAGCCAGGGTCAATGTACTTTCACAACTAAAGTGGTGAAATCTTACGGAATGCTGGCTTGCCATTTGTCCCCAAATATAAAGTTGGTGACCTGGTGACTCTATCTTGAAAAGATAGAGTTGAATTGTTACCCAGATGAGATTGTCTATGGTTGTCTGTGTGGAAGTGTCTTGATTGTTGGTTGATTGGGATGGAAGGCCCAGCCCACAGTGGGTGGTGTAAAGACTCAGGCAGCATTACGCTGGCCTGCCCCCGTCACCTGGCAGAATGCACTCAGGTAGTACCCTGGTCAGCCCAGGGTTCCATGAGTACTAGTCTGCATGCAGGTGCAAAGGACCCTTTAAAAGACAGACCCCGCCCACTTACGCTCGTTCTCCACCTTCTCTCATTCAGCTTTTCCCCCAGCAGTTCTCCTGGGGCAGACAGGACTTTTCCTGTCTCTGTCTTCTCTTCTGTCGTCTCTCTGTGTCTCTGTGTCTCTTTACCTCTTTTCTCTTTCCTTCTCCTCCCTCCTCTTTCTAATAAAACTTATCACTTAAGCTCTGTCCGCCTGTCTTGTTTGTCCCCCGCCTCGGTCACCCTTGCCTGCCATAGAATCTCCAAGGTGCCCCATGCAAGGTCCTCCTCGAGTTTTATCATAACAGGTGGTGCTACTCCTGGGCAGGTGGCCCCAGTAGTATAAGAAAACTGGCTAAGCATGAGCCAGAGAGAACACTCATAATTTATTGTTTTGTACAATTAATATGAATTATTTTTTTATTTTATTTGTGGCAAGTATAAATGTTAAATGACAGGTAGTTAGTGGATTTCCACTTGGTAATGTTGTTACGGAGTACATTCCTACCCTATTTCAAGAGGCAGGCTTTGGACATTTGGAGGGTGTAAGTTTCTCACCCAATTTTTAAAGGCAAACACCTTGGTTTCCTTTAAATACTCTTTAGTTAAAATAATCTCCATCACCATTAGGTGTCCCAGTTTTCAGTCTCTAGTTAACTGACATCATAGCCTTTATCTCTTGTCTTATCATTGTATTTTGTTAAAAGAGCTAATTTCCTGTAGTTTGCATGTCAGCAATTATGCTATTCAAAGATCCTCACTGAGATGTGTGTAACCTTGAGTGAGATGGATCCCAGGGTTCCATGAGCCACTTGAAATTGTAAACAATTTCTGACTACGGGAAGGACCGAGATGGCTGCAAAGAGACCTGCAAATATAAAAGGGTAAGGTTTCCTCCATTGTATTGAGACTCTAATCACTAAAGTTCCTGGGATCTCTTTTTACTTCTAACAAAGCTGTTTTTAACCTCGACCTTCCATCCTTTTGTATTTATCTTTAAATAGATAATTTCATTTACTCTAAGTTTACTGGGTTTTCATGTCAGCTGTTAGAAACCCTTTGCCTCTTAATTTGTCTGACAGTTAATGAGTTAGGTTTCTGTATCAGCTTTGTCCATCGCATCTGAAATTTGAATAGAAATATCTTGTATGTCTTCATCCATCATTAGTTGATGTTTTGGATGGGATAAGCCACTGATAATTCTTGGGAGCCTGCCATAGTCCCTGCTCCTCAGATAGGCAGTGATTCATCAAACAGTCAACATTCCTAGGGCAGAGCTGTCCAGCCAGCTACAAATTCACTCCTCTCCACTGTCGTTCATGTCTTCAGCTTGTCCACAGGATGTCAGATTCTTTGCTAAAATTAAGATATATTTTGGCCTGTCCTGTTTCGCTGATTCCGTCCTGTGAGCCTGTCAAGGGAGGAAATCCAACTTGTTTTGCTAAAGACTGATTTGTCGAATTAGGGCTGGCTCCCAGAAATAGGCAGTGTTTGGAAGGTATTTCTGGAGGGTTGACATCAAATTTGCTATGTGACAGTTTCTGGAATTTACTTTTTCCATATTCTTGTGTCTTTTGGAAAAGTCAAAACAATTGTCTTGGTAAAGGCTAAGTTGAAAAATTAAATGTATACTGACTTGAAAATGAGAAATATTAATGGACTTTGAAATAAACTGAACTTAAAATGATGACAGTTGATGATGATGAATACATCAGTCAAAGGCTAAAATTACACCGTATCAGGAGCCTGGACACAGATCCTATATCTGATCTCATTTGTTAAATCCCAATGGTAAGTCCCTAGCCCTCTGAACCAATAAGCTTATCACAATTAGTTCTGTTCTGTCACTTTAACCAAAACACCTAATGGAACAGCATAAGGCTGAAAACATTTACTTTGGCCCTCGGACTCAGCAGTTTCAGTCCATAGTTACTTGTCCTCGCCTGTGTGAGCAGAACATCATGGCAAAGGGAATGTGTGGAAAAGGTTGTTTAGCTGACCAGACAGAAAGAGTAAGACAGGTAGCAATTAGGGATAATAGAACCCTAACTCCCCACGTATAGACCTA